ATTTTTTAACGGGGCGGGGCGGGGACCCCGTTACCCGTCCCCGCCTCGGGGAATAATTCCCCGCCCCGTTACCCGTTTAAGCGGGTTTTCCTCTCCCCGTTCGGGGCCGGTCCCCGCTGGTATCGGGTTTGTCGGGTTTTTTTGCCATCCCTACAAAATAGCAAGCGGCCACCGGCTGCCCACTAACCGTTTCACTTGTGTACACATAAAAGGGAAGTAATTGGAAAAGGACGCATACTTCGTCATAAGATTTAGCCAAGCTAATTATCCATGTTTCTTGTTTCTTCGATACAACAATTGAAATAGTCTGTATTGGTGTTAGATCTATTCCCATATTCTATGAATTTAAAATAAAATTTCATGCTCTTGACTAATTATGTTCAATACACGTTACATAGACACACTATTAAGATCTAAATTAACCAGTCATATGTTACAAATAAAAATTGTCGTGCAAAAGTTGTTTTATGGATCTTTACCAACCGATCGAGCTAAGAATATGAGATTAATATCGAGTTGTAAGACTATTCGAGCCATAAGTCTTGCCACATTAGATTCGGAAATCAGAAGGCAGATCTAATATTCATGCTATGTCAGGTTCAACCCCTGCCTAAAGTTCAGTTTAGTACACAAATCAGAATCCAACCCAATTTCATAATTGTAGGATAAAACATAAAATAAAATCCCCGGCAGAGGCCCACTACTCTTCCTCTTTTAAACAACGTGCTCAAACAAAGTCGGCCAATTCAAATTCTTGTTCACAATCAAATAGGGATTGTTCTTTTCGCGTTTCAGTTTTGAGTTTTGAATTCATTTTGTATTTTGAGTGTGTCCATTGACTCCATTTTGAGATTATTAAAAACACGTTCTTTTTGTCATTTTGAAAAATTGTTTTCCAAAAAAAAAAAAAAAGTTTTGACTTGGTTTTAACTAAAAACAACCGAAACGACTTTTTTAGTATTTTCCGTTTTCTTTGTAAATTTTAAATTCGTTTATGAAAATAGGTAAGTAAACGTGTTTTCGAAAATTGAAAACTGAAAATGATCTGAAAACAGGAAAGAGACACATGCCCTTATTTTTTGCATTTTTCACTTTTACTAGGTAACATATATTCACTTGAATTATTACAAGATTATCGAAAATATTCATGTAATTAGCTCGTGTTGTTATAACTTTTGTTATTATAAAGAAACTTTTCAAATTAACCGTGGGACTTCAAATTGATTATTGCTAGTTTGTCAGCAATTTTGTAATGTCAAAAATTGTTTTAACGTTAAAAATTTTAACATATTTAAATAATATTTAAAAATATTTTATCTAGCTAGAAGGACTTCACGAGGAAGTGAAACTATTTAGAAGTAAAAGTAGAAAAATTGGCCTTTGTATTTTGTTAATTGCTTTACTTTTCAAAAAATAAAATAAAAAAAAAATTAACTGACTGACAAGGCTATTGGAGTCTGCTAGATCCAAATATTGACAGTCAACGTTAAATGGTAATAAATAGAATTTAACATTAGTCGCATCTGAAACAGTAGGTGTGCTGTTATAATGGCTGTAAGATATATAATTATTATTGTATTTATTATAAGTTAGGTACATAATGAATTGCTCGAGTAAATGTCATATTTAAAGCACGAATAAATGTTTTACCAAAATATAAAGTAATGCCGTGTTATGTAAGAAAAAAAAATCCTTTTTTTTTTTTTTGAATCAAATTTAGTCAAAAGATGATCACAAATCAATTTCCAACCGAAAAGTTATGCTCCGATATTTTAGTCTCATATTGAGACCTATTTTTGGCATAGAAAGTGATCGAATTGGATAATGATGTCTGAATCAAAGTTGTAGCCAGATGAGTTAGCTTTCCAACGCATTTTGAATCGCCTCAATTGGATATCGGAATACAAAGTTATGATATAAATACTGAAGGAAGGTGTAGCTGCCTGTTTAAAATAAGAAATTCTATTACATAGTCCGTTAAAACAAGAAATTCCGTTAGTTTTTCCGTTAAAAACAAGAAATTCCGTTACATAGCCACTTTTAATATATAGAAGATGCTTTGAGATTATCTAATATTTTTTTATCACCTTGTTTGGTATTCGATGATATTTGACTTTGTGTTAGCGATAAAAGTCAACAAAGCCATTCACATCTTGAAAGCTTTCACCAACTAAGATGCCGTATGTATAGAAATTAAAACCTATATTGAGCATGTCTAGATAGAAAGTTTGGTTTATTTTTCAAATATAATTATCAAAAGGTAAATTTCTCCACAAGTCCCCGATCTTACATAAATGTGTCGCCAGCTTCATAACCATGTTCTCAATTCTCCATTTGTCGCACTCCCACCCTAACCTTTTAACGTGGATAATAAGAATAGTAGGTATGAATATATGGTTGAAATTAATGTTTGACTTTATCAGAATTAGTAAATTAATTTTTAAGTTGTATCCAAAGGGTGTCTACATGTCTTAATAGACATTTTTCATCAAGTGAAATACTACTCATCTTATGAAAGGTTGGAAATCCCCTTGAAAAATTTTCCCTTATAAAAATTACTTTTTCTTCCAAACAAATTCCAAAACAATTTACTTTCTAAATGTAACATATAGTTTATGAGAAGAGTCAAACATGCTCGTCAAGCATAATATTGCAGATAAAAGGATAGATTGAACCCCTTTTATTTTGTGAGAGTAGATGGGTTTATTCAAGAATGGCAGGGGAAATAAATCACATTTATTATTTGTTAGGTGTATACAAGAAATGCATAATTTAGTGCATCAAGAGACCATAGAACATTTACATCCCTAGACAACATTTTAGGTGAATTGCTCTTATCACCCCATTTATAGCTCGTATTAATGCATTCCACCAAATCCAAGAGGTTGCGTGCGAATGTTAGTTCATTTCCTGATGGTCAAAAGAATACACATTAAGTTGCAGTTGAGTTGTTAATAAACACATGTAGTCGAAATTACACATAATTGTACACGTTTCGCAAAGAAGATCTATGGCACTCTAAGACTCCACATCATCAAGAAAAAAATGTAACCGTACTGTCTATCTAATACAATACTTTTTTGTGAACGTGCAAAGTTGAATACCGGCGCCCTCTATAACTGATCCCAATACGGTTCGGCAGAGCGGGACTTGACCGTGGCATGACGTTTCACAGGCCGGAAATGAGCGGTGTTTTCGTGAAATTCACACCCTTAATTTTAAGGGTGAAGTACTATTGCACCAACTTAGGATAAAACATTTCCTACATATGTGATTCTTCTGAAGACTGAGAATCTGAATGGATTCTTGAGCCTTGTCTATACTTGGAAGACAGAAGTTTCAGTTGAATTAAAACAAAACTCAGAATCAGAAGATAGCATTTACAACTACACCACTAGGGGTGCTAAATTGTAGGCGCAAGCTGCGAAAACCTAGTGCAAGCCAGCTCGCCATCAGGAGTGAAAATGCAATTTTCAATTTTAAAAAACACACAATGTGAGCGTGAGATGGCTCTCATGGAGGGCCGAACCGAGCCCTATGGTGGTTGAGGCGAGCAGCTTGGCTAGGCCAATTTAACATCCCTATTCAACGGTGGTGGAGCCCAATGAAAAATCTATTCTTGAATCTGTTTTTCATTTTTTAATCATTCGCGTCGTCTCATTGTCCAATGAATGGATTCACTGCGGCATGGAGCACCCCTAGTATCACTCTTCTTTTAACACTAAAAGACAAGATGATAAATGAATAAGTCACACCAGAAATGGATGAGAGAAAAACCAAGAAAATGCCTTTAACTTCATAATATCTAAGAAGAAACCCCAATTTAAAATTTATACATCAGTGTTTCACTTACAAAACTACTATCTATCTTTACAAAAAATAAAAAACATTTTTTAAATAGATATGTTAAGATCAATTCGAGGTTTCTTGACTACCACCGGCGATGGAACAATACTGTTGCATCGTGGGCATTTTGGGTTGCTCTTTGATATTAGCACATAAATCAGACAACTGGGACAGCCAGCAGCTAACGAGCCCGATGACTTCTCTTCATAATCAATATCACTATCTTTAACCGAGGATGAAGAATTTGAAGGTGGTGATGATGATTTCGACATTGATATTGAGCGTTTCCTAAATGTTTCTTTCTTTGCCCTCTCAAGTGCAGACTTTACTTTGTCTAGAGTGCATACACTTTGATAATTGGATGACGAAGGCGATGAGGTAGACGATGGAACCAGCTTCAAGTCTAAACCAGCCTCATCAAAAAGATTCAGTGGTTCATTTGATGCCAGAGGGAAGTTGAGGTCTTGAAACTTTGCAACTGATTTTGCCTTTTGCTGCTTATTCTCTGAAGTCGACGAGGATGAGTTTGAAGAATTACATCTCTGGATATAAACTTTCCCCGACTGAAATCAAGAATAACACATCAATGTGATAACTTAATGTTTACAGAAACGACTGCATATTATACATCGAAGCACGAATAACAATTTCATTTTGAAACTAAAACACTTCTACTTACTGTCAAAATAAGTAACTTGCATATTTCCAACTGTCAACTGATTAAAAATGATTTATTTTAGACTCGCTCATTTGCTTAGAAGTAAACTTATGAACTTTTTGAGCTTTAGCAAGACTATTGATCAATAATGCTCTGCTATTCCAGTACCAAATGAAACATTACATGGCTGTAAAATGTCATGTGGGTTTTTCTTAACCAAACCAACAAACAAAAAGAATGTATAAACCATATTATATCACAGCTTTCAACAGTGGATAGAAATTGCTGATATCCTCGAAAAGTAACTGATAAAAATATTAATTAATTGCCTTGAAATATACAAATATGGATTTCATATCAATCAAAATAAATTCACGGAAATGAAATTAATCCACTAATAAATTCCGATGCACATAGAATTAAAATTTTGATTAAATGAGCATAAATAAACATGTATAGTAAGTGCAAAAAAATAGCAGAGAAACAACATCCAATATAAAATTAGTAGTAAATCAATTCTCTCCCAAAAAGCTTAGCTAGAAGGAGATGTGCAATCAACCCGTTCATCATCAGAATCAGGACGGAGAATCACGATCAAACACTGTTCGATTGGACCATAGCTCGATAAGTTTTAGGGGATAGGCTCGCATCATCAACAACAATACGAAAAATTTAATTCTAGACCACACAAGAAAGCAATGAACAAATCCCAACTTTTCCATTGATTTTTGGGTAATCAAACAGAAAATCAAAAGCCCAGAGTGAAATAAAATTTGAAAAATTGAACAATTATAATACCTTTAAGTCAAGTCGTTTTTCCCAGCCAGAGGGTACTTGCAAGTCGAGGTCTAACTCTTTGGATTCAAGATTACAACGTCCACCAAGTAAATCCTTCGTAATCAGGGCCGTTGATTTCCCACCACCACCACCTGATTGATCATTCTTATCACCACCGTTCATTACTCTAACCAGAGAACTCACTTCAGCTGCCATCCCACAGTTCACCAAGAACGATATCTTTAGTTTTGCAGAGAGAGATTTTATAGATATACACACATTTTTATATAGAGAGAGTGAGAGAGAGTGGATGTGGTTTGAATTAAATGGGGATGAAGTAAATGTAGTCCGTTATAGATAAAACAAGGTAATGATAAAAAATAATAAGTAATTAACGTCATGAAGGATTAGTTAATTGTAATTTACTTTTTTGTGGATAAATAGAAATGTTAACCATTTTTGTTAAATAAAAAAAAAAAAAGGAAAATTGCAGCAACGTTCCCTAACCTTTCATTTTTGTACAGACTTTACTCTAACTTTCATTTTATGCTATCCACAATCGCAAACATTTCAAAAATGCGCACATTTGGATGGAATTTAACCATTGGTTGATTAGAAAAGGCAAATTTTTTTTGATCAAATTAAAAAGGGCAAAACGGTATATTTACATTTTCCCAAATATTAACAATCATAACAGTTAATAAACTAAAAAAATATCAAATATGCCCTACCCACGCCACCCTCCCATCATCGTCATCATCACATCATCACCATCTTCTTCTTCACTCAAATTTGAAACTCCGGCCCATTTTTTTTTTCTCAGCTTCTTCCATTAGCAATCATTTAAATAACTTGTCTTCTGCATCTTTCAAGAACTTGAATTTTGGAGGAGGTGAAGATCTTAATCTATTAACTTCAGCCTCCGATAATGATTCGTAAAGAGGATTAAATCCATGGTTATAACAATAATCAAAAGCCTTAACAGAGGGTGAAGAAATAGGGGTTAAATATGATATGCCAGTTCCATCTACACCAATGGGGTGGTGTCGGACGCAGATCTTAAAAGTTAGGGGACATAATCGAACTTGTAAAGAAGTTGAGAGAAATTTTACAATCGAAAATTTACGTCTAAAAAAACCATACCTATGTAATTTTACATCAGAAAATTTACATGGGATATGACTTTTTCGAATGTAAAATTTCGAAATTTTTTGAAAATTTCCTAATAAAATGATGAAAATTACATTGAGAAATTTGTATCGCAAAAATAATAAATGTTCATGAAATAATCGAATTTTTTTTTTAAAAAAATGCGAGTTAGACGTCTTTTTAAAGGTTCACGTTTAACGTATTTTTAACTATTTTCATAAGTTTNATGAAAATTGTCAATAAAAGTGATAATTTTTTTTACCATTGTGTCTAAAAAAAAAATTCAATTGCCAAAAAAAAAAAAAAGCAAGTTGGAAAACCATTTCTCACACAAATCATGCAAAAATGAATTCCACAAAAATCAAGAAATTGTGCACGTGTGAGTGGAAACCAAGAAAAACAATTATAGAGAAAACTTTGTAATCAAACAAGCAAAAACGTGAAAAATGAAAAACAAGTTCTTACTTCCATGGAAAATTTTCCATATCAAACAGGGCATTACTACATTTGTTAAAATTTTACAATTGTAATCAATTAACGATCAAATTAATGGAAATGTGCATATTTTTTAAAGGTTTGGAACTATTTTTGATACAAAATGAAGGTTAAGATAAATTTTGTAAAAAAGTGAAAGGTTAGGGACCGCTGCTGAGATTTTCCCCAAAACAAATCACATTGGGTGGTGAGGGTGGAGATTTGGACACGTGGGAGGAGGTGGGCCGTCAGTAGTGGCGGGTATTAAATGCAATGTAACACAGCTGTGACAATGCGTGCACAAGAACAAAACAAAAAACCTTTTGGCTTCTTTAGGTAATTCATTAATTATGGTCATCATTCTTTTTAAAACTTTTGATTTTATTTTATTTTCTTTTGTTCATTTATTTCAATAATCCCATTTATTTCCTTCATTAATTGCCATACTTTATTTAAGAATTTGGTTGTAGTTGGCCGTTTGATATACTTAAATGAGGAAATTGAGCTTAATTTTCAATAAATTTGACGTCGACTAATAAATTATTATTAAAATGCTTTCTCTTTTCAAAAGAATTTTTAGAGAAAGTCACATTGTTACCAACTTCCTCTAAAAACTCTTCTAGAAATATAATTAAATGGATCAAAAAGTTACTTTTGACTTCTCAAAAATCATGTCAAACAACTCCTTATACTTCTTTTTGAATAACAGTATTCAAAAAAGCACCACTACTCTAAATAAGTGATATCGAAAAAATTCGATCTTTTAACTGAATCCATCCATTTGAACGCATACGTATATGGTCAAATCAAAATTGATTCTTGTTAATTTATTTGGTCACCAAACAAGATTTTGAGATAATCAATTCATTGCTTATTTTTGACCTGGTGGTAAGATAATCTTGCAGAATCGTGCATTCAATTTTTTTGCTTAATTGTCAATGAGGAGGCGCTGCGTGAGCATGACAAGCCAAACACATTAAAAACTAAAAGAAAATGAGGTGAATTAAAACATGTTTTATTTGGATAAGGCCAAGAAACATTAAAATGTGTCTTGTTGTTCAATTTTTGTTAGTTTTGTAACATAACGGTCTGAGTTAGGTGAAAACCTAGAGTCGATTTGTGTAAGAGTATATTATCATAGTTTATCTAAACTCTTAAATTAGCTTAAAAGTTAATTAATTAAACAAAATTCTACACGCTTGATGTCGTAATTGACCGCTGTAGGCAAAATCTCCAATTCGAAGATGAATAAGGAAAAATGGAGTAAATTTGGAACTTTAGTTTGATAAAATAATGGTGTTGGATGAAGTCCGAAAATTTATGAGAAAACTGATCGGATTCGAAAGCTAATTGGAAGATTTCATAATTTTGGGAACCAAAATGCAAGTTCAAAAACGCTTCGAAGGCAATTGTTACTTTTGAAAATGCAATCTCAAGAATTTTCCATGCCCCTAAATTGCTTGGGTCGCATTTGGAGCTATGCTAGGTCTAGCTATATAAGCATGTAGATCAAGCCAGAGAGAGACTCGGCTTGTAATTCGAGGCACAATAATTTTAAATATAACGGAGCGAGAGTAATCTAATATTGACTGTCCTAAAAGCAGTACACCTATACGTGGTTGGTTACAAAAAGATTGATTGAATTGAAAATTTGCGTAGAACAAGTCAATCACGTTTACGAAATGATAAAAATTTAATTAAAATAATCAACCCAAGGATGTTAAAATAATAGCTAATTTATCGCATTAGTATATTTTCTTTATGTTGAATGATAAGGAACAAAATTATGGAACCTTACCATTGCAATACACAAGTTATTGCCACCTTTAATGGGTGAATTGCCAATATTGAAATAAAGTGAGTTGGAATATTCAATCTTCATATTTAATGGCATTAATTCAATTCACACAATTAATTACTCTTTCCATTATTCTATTTATCATAATTAAATTGTGAGACATCATACCTTGGACAAAAGAAACCACTTATGCACATGTAAATTATTTATATCCAATCTAAACTGCCAGTGTGATTTAACATTTTAAATAATTTCATGTCATGAATATCGCTTATTTATGTATCTATAATAAACCACAAATATGAATTATTTAATAATACCACGTGACAACTAATTTAATGAAGAGCCGGCCAGTGTAAACTAACTCGCATCGCAAAATCCGGCCGACATGGATGAATAGGCGAGTTAAATTGTATTCAAATTAAATATTTATTGTACGTTTTTTATGGATGTTAAATAAATAAAATACCTCCCTCTTTATCCGAGTTGAGACCATCTAGAATGTGTATACATTGAAGTTTCAAGTAAAATAGACTCGTCAAGATGAAAATTATATCGAAGAGTCCTTTGGAATGAAAACAATCATTTTTAAAGTGAATGAGGAATTCAGATGAAGCTTGATGGATATTGAAATGAAAGTAGAGGAGTGTGAAAATTTAAAATGAAATTGTATTATCTTAAGTTACAAATGTAAGCTTAACATTTGGAAAATAATAAAGAAGGGGAGATGCTATTTTTATCCATCATTGTTATACATATCCACTTTTAAAAAGAAAATTTTATTATATTTTTAACCTTGTGTAAATTTGCTTAAATAGACATATATAAAAATATATCACTCTAAATTCATTCACTAAAAGTTTTTGATTTGCGTGTAATATTATTTCATTAAAGAATGTGTGTTTGAAATGAGATCAAATCACTGTTCAATAAGACATTTTAATGGAAAAAATGGAGCTCAAACAAGGGTTAAAACTCTAATATTCATAAAATATCATATTCAACTAAAGTCAAAACAACAATGGAAGAGATATCATTAAAGTAAATACATGTAAACATAGTAATATATAAACAAAAATTTGAAAAAGTAAGGATTGCCTTTTTTTGTAGGTTTGATAAATTTATTCATTTAGTAAATTCTTGATTTGTACTTGGTTTATTTGATATTGTGTCTTTTGAATTCAAGTAGTGTTAGTAAGAAATTTCATTCCAAATTATTTGAAATTTATGTTGTCGTCATCTTTTCTTTTCTGGAGTTTCTCGAATTGAAAACATTGATGGCTATATTTTTTGTTATGATTATCAAAACAATAGTTTGAGTTTTCTGCTAGAATATATTATATATATATATTCTATTGTTGTTTTAAAAGGATGGAGACTAATCTGCTGGGATTATCAAAACAAGTAAACAATTTTCGATAGTGCATATTGATGGCAATGATTGAAAATATGAAAGGATTATTAAAAAATTATGATATGATAGATATATAAAAAATGGTGTGGATGTATAGATATATAAAAATTGTGTGAATAGATATATGAAATTAATTGAAAGAATTATGATGGAATAAATATACAAAAATAGTGGGGATGTATAGTGTTTAAATGGATGAATTCGGTAAAAATAATAAAATAATATTATTTATCATTACGATGATGGAATATCGACGATGTTGCAATCATGGGCGGACCCAAGGAGGGTCCTGGGGGGCAGGTGCCCCCCAACTTTTGAGATTTTTTTTTAAATCACGTTTGTTATCGATTGAGATTTAAATTTTAATTTAAATCAAAGTTA